GGGGGCGGGTACAGCTGGCTCTGCCTCTACATAGGCAGAGCCAGCTGTCAGTCACGCAGCTGGGCGGATCCCGGCACAATTGTCGGGATCCGCTTCAGCTGCGGCGTCTCAGTATACCGCGAGCTACAGCTCGCGGTATACTGAGCCTAGGGTGACGGGAGGATGCTAGTTTGTGTCCTCCCGTTACCTTAACCCCATAGTTCTCCTTTAAGGTACTTGAATGACTTTTAAGATTTAACTCCTGAGTTTATTGTCACTTTAATTTAAAATGTTCCGCTTGTAACATCGCATTATGGCCAACAGATGGGGCTGAGGAGCATAGAAAATAAAAACCTATTTCCTATGTTCCTTTAGCGCCATCTAGGGGCCATAATGCAATACTACCAGCAGAACTTACAAAATGAATTCCACTTTTAAAGAAAAAAAGCTAAAGAGCTTGTGTTTGTGCACATCTTCTCACAGAACAAACGTTCACAGATATTTGCAGGGCAAACAAATTGTTTATAAATCAACTCCATGGTATGTGTAATGTGCTGACAGAAAACGAGTTGACAATAAGTTATCTAAAGCCCAAACTTTTTTTTTTTCCTTTTGAATTGGATTTGGAGGGCAGATAAAAAGGGGGATCATATTTTGCCCTGGCCTTTAATTATGATGGGGGTTCATAGCTGGCCAAATTTTTGTAACGTGCCATCATACATTCTTGGAAACTTCCAGCAAACAGAGCAGCAGCTCGCTAACCATCAACATGTCAGCAAACACAACATTAGACTAAATATAACTGAGCTTCTAAATCTGTGCCATCATTCACGGTGCAAACATAAAATATTTAGACAGAGACTCCGCTGAAACTGAGACAGTGGAGCAAACAAATCTACTTAGACAATTTCACAGACCATTTTCCCGAAAGCCAGTTAGTGTAAGTGCGCGGGAGCGGAGGCGCTGAGGCTTCCTGAATGCAAAATTGAACTGATATTGCAGAGACATGTTGAAATCAGTTCAGTGTCTGCTACATTATTCTGCTCCAGTGAGATGTAGAAGAGAGTTGAGCAATACACATCACAGGTGAAACGAAATTCAATACAGATCATTGCAACCTCATTACTCTTCGGAGTATGTCACTCTGGATGTCTTTATAGTTTGTTAGGATTTCACAGATGTAGCACAGTGCTTAGAGACTGGAGAACCGTTCAGGTAATGGTGAAGGGGACAAAAGGAAGCAAAGAGCCTTTTATTAAAACCTGGTTTAGTACAAAATCGCTTAAAGTATATATTAACCCTAACAGTGAACTTTTCTTTGATTGCTCCTCTTTGGTCTGTTAAAGGAGAACTATAGGGGGTCAGGGCTTTTCCCCATAGTTCTTCTAAGGGTAACGGGAGGACACAAACTAGGGTCCTCTTTTGAACCTATTGAAAAAAAAACAAAAACACTTCAATGGCATATTTAAAGGAGAACTATGAGGCGAGTGAAAATCACTCATTCTCATAGTTCTTGCTGACCTGTGACAGTAATGTTGGGATCCCTGCCGGCTGCGGCGGTCTCAGTATACCGCCAGCTGTAGCTTGCGGTATATTGAGCTTTGGGTGACGGGAGGACAGAGTAGGAGATAATAGGACAGATTGGGGTAGGGAGTTCCAGGGGATGGGAGACACTCTGGGGAAGTCCTGGAGGAGAGCATGAGAGGAGGTAATGAGGGAGCTAGAGTGCAGGAGGTCTGGAGAGGAGTGGAGAGGACGGTTTGGGTGAGGTTGGAGATGTAGCTGGGGGCAGAGTTATGGATGGCTTTGTATGTTGTGGTTAGTATTCTGAATTGTATTCATTGGGCAATTGGAAATATTAGCTGATAACTTCCTTTGCTAACTGTTATCATTAAGTATTTTCCCCAGCTTTCTCTGTAGAGTATAGACAAACATTGCCCTATGTTATGGAGAAGATAAAAGGGAGAGGCATTAGTAGTCCTAAAGCACTTTGGGGTCTATTTATAAACAGCATCACAATACATTCAAACTGCAAAAAAATATTTGCTAATTTTTGCCATTATTCGCACAAAAGAAATGTTCACAGATATTCGTGGAGCCCTTTGCCCTGCTAAAGTCTGTGAACATTTCTGTTGTGAGAATAATGGCTTGGCTCCATTCATTTCAATGGAAACGCTCAAAAACGCATGTTTGCTGCGTTTTACTTGCGTTTGCTCATTCACATCAATATGTCAAAATAAAAAAAAACGCAACTTGATTTATGCGCATAAAATGCAACAAATACGCGAGTAGAAACGAGCAAAAACGCTGTCGCCTAGGTGTGAACCCAGCCTAATGTATGTTGGAATGACCACTAGTAGTCTCCATTGGGAGGCCCGTGTGACAGGGTGACAACAAGGAGCACAACTGGGAAGCAGGGACAGAGCGCTGTTACCCCATAATAGGAAGTCCTTGTACAAGGACCCTTGTGGCAGGATCACCAGGTACTATTTTAATGAACAATACATATTTAAAAAAATCTCAGATTTAATCTATAATATATGAGATTTAATGATTGGGTTTACATATACTTTAAGGTCTTTGATATTTTATTAAAGTGAACTTTCAAGCTCCTAAATGGTCACTTTTTTCCTTCCTTTTAGAGGAAAATTAGAAGTTGACATTCATATTAGATCCTTATCTTGAGGTGGTACACCCCAATGATTATCAGACCTCTTGACAGTATTTGGAGTGGAGGAGTGGAGTGCCGGCAGTGGGAAAAGGTGCCAGGCATAGGAGATACACTCTAGAAACCTGGTTGAAGTTGTATAGGATGTATCTCCCACCCCCAAGCTCCTCAAGTTATTAAAATAAACAAATTGTGCATTAATCATTGTTAAAGCATAGTCCATACCTTGTCTGAGTCCATATAAGTCTGTGGCAGGGATGAAAGCATCATGATTGTACTTTTCAGCGCATACACTTGGACGTTCAGGTTGGTGAACACCCTTTTGATTACTCAGCTGTGGATCCAAAGGACAAAGTAAAAGAAGTCTCCAACATTCTAGAAAACCTTCAAGGAGAAATGAGCCATATCACGAAAGAACAGGAATATCAGCGGGTATGGTTATGCATGCGATTTCTGTCATGACTTGGTGTCTTTTTCAGCTCAAATATAGAATGTTGTTAGTCTTTGAGTGTAATTAAAGGCTAATGGCAGCACATCTACAGATTGGGGACGTTTATGGCGTGCGCTCCATTTGCTTTTAAATCTGGCCATTGCAGGTTGATTGGAATGTTTCTGGCGCAGCAATGCATTCGGTCACATTGCGTTTTGTCTGCATTTCTCTCATGTAAAGAAGTACAAGAGGAAACTGGCTGTGTAGAATAGGAAGTGTATCCAAAACTTGTTTTTATAAAGCGGTGAGGGATTTGGAATATTAGACAGTATTGTATTGCTCTCTGCGTCCCCATTAGAGAGATTTGTTCTCTGTATTTGTCAATGGAACCAAAAGTGAGGTATAAAATCCAAAATGTTGAGTTGTCGCCACAACATGAGTAGAAGGGAAACTTCCTGTGGGACAGGAAGTGAAGGGAAATACCCCCCATTGGACAAAGATAGCGTGAAAAAAAAAACTGACGGGTTTTAACCATCCCCTACTTTTTTCCAAAATGAACAAAATGATTTTAGGTACACTTTAACCACTTGAGGATTTTAAACATAAGAAGTCAACAAATTTTCTAAGATGTATCTCTCACGTCTGGGTCCTCTTTCCCTGCCAACACTCCCCCCACCACTATTATTGGCAGCTACCGGTTGTCAAAATGACAGCCAGTAATCGTTTGTATTACACAGAAGGAGCAGCTGTCAAAATGGAGGTGCTTCTGTGTAAAATGACACTTGTCATTGAGTATATATATTGAGTCAATGTATCGTATACTGCATGTAGGTGTCACCTTGATTTGCATAGGACATCTACTTAGGAAACCTAACAAGTTAAGCCTTTTTCTAAATAAAATGTATTCCTATTGAACTCCTTAACCCTAATCAGTCCTAAAGTCCTTCCTCCACTTCTCCCTTAGCTAATCATTTTTTTTTAATCACGATTATTATTTCATTTTTTTCATTGTTATTTGTTTTGCTTGTTACTTTTTATAGCGTGACATAACAAGAAAATGCGCAAAATAAAATAAAAAAAATGTTTTCATTTGTAAATAACTTTGTCATGCTTTGTACCAGAAACGTAATTTTAGTGATATTTTCACTGCCGGGTGTTTTTTTTTTTTTCTTTTTACCTCAGGGCGCTAGACAATTTTTGCACCTTTTTTTAACTTTTTAATAATTTTTCGAATACAGCTTTCAGAGTTTGTGAAATACCCCCCAAACCCATACATTTTTAATTTAAATGTTATTTAATTTAATTGATTGATTGATTGACTTTCACCAGGGGATGACAAGCCCCATGATAACAGTATATCCAACATTTGTGACATGTCTTCTTTGGAGAAACTTCAGGGGTCTGTTTAAAGTCGGCTTCCTTTACTGTAATAGAGAAAGCGATTGAGTCCTCAATCTCCTTCTCTTCTATGGCCCTAAACTTGCTATTGGTCACAGAAGTGCTTAGAGTTCCTCTGTGTTCAACTGAAGGATGTAGTAAACATATCAAATATGTTTACAATGTCTTTCTGTATGACTGAACAGAGAAGTACTCTGCACTGAGTTCCTCAGTGTTCAACTAAAGGATGTAGTAAAGATGCCAATCACGTTTACAATGTCTTTCTGTATGAATGAACACAGAAGTACTCAGTACTGAGTTTCTCTGTGTTCAACTGAAGAAGGTAGTAAACATGCCAATCACGTTTACAATGTCCTTCTCTATGAATGAACACAGAAGTGCTCAGTACTGCTCATTCAAAGTTATTTAGTTGCTGGAGGTCTGTACAGCTATATGGTTTGTCTGCATCTTACATTGTTATTCATTGTCGTCCTCTGGTTTCCTATTGGCCTTTGTTGGCTGTCAGTCAGAAGCAGAGCACCCAGATTGGTACTTAATGAGTGGATAGCTGACTAACCGCCTGAACAAAAGTGTGTTATTAGGGGTAAATGATTAACTTATTATGCTTGGTATCCATGAATTGTCCCAGTAAGGGAGTGCACCATCATCCCTACACACTTAGAAAGTGCCAACAAAAAATATTTTTTGGAAACTTTTGAAGTACATTCATATCAATCTAGACCAGGTTAATATCCTATACTGACCAGTGTCTAGATGTATACGATTGTACCTGCAAAGTCACAAATAATCTTTTTTGTTGGCACTTTCTGTTGTTTGGGATAAACCACTTTTTGTCACAGAGCTTACAGTGTTGTTTTCTGCTTACAGTATTACTTGTTTCCATTTCAGGAGCGAGAAGAATATTACCGACAGAAGAGTGAAGACATGAACAGCAATGTTTTATGGTGGGCTATTATTCAAACCCTCATCCTCACCTCTGTTGGCATCTGGCAGATCAAACGCTTAAAAGATTTCCTCATCGCCAAGAAAGTTGTATAACATTTCTATTAACTTTGTTAGCCAGATGAGCCTCTTCTCTGATCACCCCCACCCCCCCTCCCCTTCCAGCACCAATCTTGGTTTTACTTTTTTACTGTGTGTTTATCACCCTTCCTAATAAACACACAATCCATACCCCATTCACACTGAGTGTTTTGTAGCGCAATTTCCACTCAAAAATTGCTCAAATATGAAGCTCAATGTAGCTCATTGTAGCTCTTCCAATGCATTTCAATGGAGATGTTCACATCTTGCCACTCAGTGTCGCCTGTAGTTTGTAGCTCAAGCTTGTCGCTCAAACATAAGCTATATTTCGGCGGATTTCGAGCGATTTGGCCCCAATAGACTGCCGAAAGAAGTGCTACATAGCATGACAAAATGTGCACTGTAGCTCAATGTCGCTCAAAGTCGATCAGCTCAAATCAGTGCTGAAAAAGCTTGTAGCTCAGTGTGAATGGGGTCTAATAAGAGTTCCCTTATTGTACACTTGGGTGGTCTTACTCGACAAAGGGAGGGGCTTACTGGACCTCTAGGGGAGGGGCTTTGGCAGAACCTTCACTTTTAAAATGAGTTGACTGGTTCAATTTAATTGAACCTAATGGGAGCCTTTTTGGTCAATGCAAAATTCTAACAGGTCCCCCCTCAAATCTGGAATTAAATGTATTTTTCTTGTGTGACCCCAGAATGATAAAGGATCATTTCTTTTCATAAGATACAAATAAACTGTTTGTGAAAAAGGAAACCAGTATATGTGTGTTTTTAGGCTAAAACATCCACCTTGTAAAAGTTTGTAAACAAAGGTCTAATGATGAAAGGGCCTAGGGCAATTCACAACCCTAGTGGAGAGAGCCTTGAAAGGGAAAGAGGGAACCCTTTCCTTTCAAATCATACACCCAGCAATTTGGAAATCCATTAAGAAATGGTAGAACTAGATACCAGAATACCCTCCAGGTACCTTTTGGAAAAACAAAGAATTGGATTTCCCGAAGGAAGCTGTGGTACATGAATAAACCCAAACCGCTTTAAATACATCCAAACAGTAGCAAAATTATATTTGCATTTAAAAGACAGGCAGACCCCACCTTAAGCAAAAAGGAAGGCCTAGGTCTTAGGACAACATTACCCTTGTAGAGAATCAAAAAGAGATCTTTACTCTAAAACTCTCCAGGCTTTCCTAAGATGGAGACCGGAGTCCATGGCACATCAATCCTATGACATATTAGTTCTATGCCAGCCTCCCCCTAGTGACAGTAGCGGACCGTGATTATATGGTTGCTTTGTTTACTACTATCAGCTAACCAGGAAGAGACTGAGGAATCACCATGACCGCCGCTACGCTTCCTACTCTGCTGTCCAACAGAGCAAAACCACCACTCCTCAGATGCATCAGCAGCTGTGCTGGTCACCTGTCTACAAGCCTTAAACCCAAAATTATAATTAGAGATTGTGGCATTCACTGATCTACACATAGAGGCCACACATGGATATCGGAGTCATCAGAATCTTGGAGAGACCCAATTTATTATCTCTCCCATACCCCCCGGTTCTTAAGGCCTGTTTAAGGAAGAACTCAGAGCATCTACAAAATTAAACCTTGCTGAGGGGCTACCACCACACTGCAGGGTTTAACTGCTTGTTTTAGTCTATGGTCTAAAATAAAAAAAAGATACACGCACCCAGGGCCGGATTTCCCACAAGGCCAACCAAGGCCCGGCTTTGGGGCAGCAGGGAGTAGAGTGGCAGCAGGGGTGTGGAATTCCTATCTCCTGACGACCGGGACATGCAGTTGTTTTCTACATTTAGCCCTGCTTTGGGCAAGCAGAGCCAAATGTACAGCGGGGAAGCCGCCACTTGTTTTGATCTCAGAGATGTTGCCAAGATCACTTGTATGCAGCCTGAAAGTCTGCCATTCTCCATTGGGGGGTTTGGCGGGTAGGGGGGCACTTTGAGGAACCTGGCCTTGGGGCAGCAGAGAGACTAAATCCGGCCCTGCCAGCTCTGGCCGAGGAATGTCCTTAGGTCTCCTCACGTCCAAAGCAAATTAATGGACATGATGACGTCACAGGCCCGGGAGAGAAGAGGCTGCAGGGACCGGTCTAACAGTCAGGAGGCACCAAGAATCAGAAGAGTATATCTTTTTTATTTTAGACCCTAGACCAAAACGAGCACTTAACCCTTGCAGTGCCAGGGTAGCCCCACCACAAGGGTTAATTTTGTAAATGTCCAGAAGCTCTTTAAACGTATTTTACATTTCTCTATGCAACCCGCTTTAAATATTTTTTTTTGCAAACCATATTGTTATTTTGGTTGGAATGTTTTGTTAAACAAAATGAATTTTGAAGCAACTTGAATTATCCACAGATTCATATAGTAATAAACATTTTCAAAAACTAAAATAAATGTATAAGGCATATACATGTATACCTGTACTAGGTATTTAAAACATTTAATTATGTTTTAGAAATAAATACAGAAATAAAATTATAAGAATAAAAATAAAAAATAAGGGGAAACCCTGCATGCAGCACCTAAAGCAGCAGTACAAATAACAGATAAAGGGTGCAGAACTTTACTACATATAATAAGAATAAAAATGTTGTATGTGTTAATTGTAATAATATAAAATAAAATAATAATAATGGTTTTCAGGTTCCAATAAATATGTAAATACTCACAGGTAATGTGGTATGCACTGACAACTATGAATAGCCTTTCTTACCGCTGAATACCAAACACAACACAGTAGACTTTATCTGATCCTACATTCCCCTCTAGTGTAGAATTAGGAAACTGCAAGCTAAAAGAAAACGTCAGTTTATAGTATAATGAACAGAACACATTAATCTGTGATGATGAAAGTTTAGAGTTCCACATATATTTTTATAATCTGTTAATCTACTATTCTGGGTTTTCCAAATTTGAATTAATCTGAAAAATACCACCAAGGCACACCAAGCATGTTGGATTGTGTCCCCAAAACAAGTGGACCACATATGTGTGGACCTACTGCCATGCTGACGCCATTCCACATATTCTATAGCATTAGGTAGCATTGTGGCATTCATCCAACCGGTTTATCTAAAAAACATTGGAGCACCCCTGTCAAGGCACCAGCACCCAAAGTTGACAGCTATACCCAAGGTGAGATTATGTGTGTTACCTTACCCTTTTAACTCTTTTCCTGATCACTTGTTCAGTATGGGTTGAAAAAAAAATCAAGACTACTTATTAAATACACTTTATTAATAACACAATCTTCCTTCCATACTTCATCATCTATCGAAGATTAAAAATTAGCAAACAAATGCTCCTCAAATCATCACGCTGTTGCCCCCAGCCCTAGTCCAACTGATGCTAATAAAGGTTAGTGTTGTTGCAATTGGACTACAAGAGTCTAGAAGATTCTAACAGTCCGAGGGGAACTCCAGCCATATTTGTTTTCAGGGTTTCTATAGAGTGGGGTTCTAACCTCTGTAATACGTTTATTGCTGTTTTTATCCTAATTGGGGAGATTTGGACATACATTTACTTATTGTTGAAGTCAATTACCATGTGTCTGTTTTTCAACTGAACTTCGTAGTCTATGTACCTTCTTGTCCCACTGACACAACTAGAAATATATTTGATGTAATATTTTGATGTAATACTGTATAATGGCTACTAGATGGAGCTGAGGAGCAAAGGAAAAAAGTTTTTTCCTATGCTCCTTATCGCCATCTAGTGACCATAATGGAGTATTATATTAAAATACATTCAACCTGAAAAAAAAAAAGATTTAAGGAATTTTTTATTGTCTTTATTCAGACAAAACAAACATTCACAGATATTCACAGTCAGAAGGTAGCTGCAAATTGTTTATGAATAGAATCCCTTGTGTTTCAGGTGAACTGATAACATTGCTATACCAATTCACAGGACACTCAGCATTAGATGTTTGTGGAAGTGCCTATGAACTGGTTTTAGCACAGCTGTGATTAATTAGAAATGAAGACAGCAGCTTTTATGCCCAGTGTCCTAGCAAGGTTTATTTATGGGGACACAGATGTAGAGTGTTGGGTATGTGCTGACCTTCCTTCCGACCCTGCCTTCCCTCTCTGTCAGCAAACCTGTCCTCTCTCACCCTGTGGCGACCAAAGGGCCCTGGTGCAAGATTTTATCTTGGGCCCCCCTCCCAAAACGGGGGGGACGGGTGCGCAGTATCAGATCACACTGGCCCCCAAACCCACCCCCCGGTGGTCTCTATGTTGCAGTAGCGTGCTGGACTTACATGAGACCCTGCAGAGCACACCATAGATCCTGCATAGCCCACCTGAGACTCTCAATGGTGGGCTCTGTAGAGCCTCAGGCGGTCTGGTCGCCGGGGTCCCTTTCCCTGTACCTCCTCCCAACTCTTCTTACCTGCTGCTGCTGGGGCCCAGCCTCCTCCACCCCCTCCCCTGTCACCTCTGCAATGCCGCCCCTGGTACAACTGATAGCCATGTAAGGGGCCCCCCAGGCTGACCAGACCCCGCACATGGGTTCCCAGCCATACCAGCCTGATGGCAGTGTTCTATCAAAGTTTGTGACTACGTTAGAATGTGTAACCGGTGACGTGGTCACACGTTTTAACGTAATCCCGCCCAGTGAAGCATTCCAACGCTTTGTCAGCTGTTCCAGGGCAGATCGGCATCGCAGATGGTATGTGCAGGAGAACTGATCTGCCCTGGAACAGCTGATCGGTCCTGAAATGTCACTTCTATCCAACTCTGTGACTGCGATCTCACATTCCACTGCACTCACAAAGTCGGATAGAAGTGACATTTCAGGACCGATCAGCTGTTCCAGGGCAGATCGGTTCTCCTGAACATACAATTTGCGATGCCAATCTGCCCTGGAACAGCTGAGAAAGCGTTGGAATTCTTCACCTATTTGCGCTCACACATTCCACCGCCGAAAAACTGGACGGGATTACGTTAAAATGTGTGACCATGTGACCGGTCACACTTTCTAATGTAGTCTAA